ATCTTCGCAGCCAGAAACGGAGCTCCCCCGAAGGTCTTGCGATCGAGATACCTGGTATGTCAGTATCTGAACTAAATCGAATAATTTCAGCGATAAGGCTTTGATCGGAGAAGGATCATATGGAAGGGTCTTTCGTGTCACTCTCGACGCCGGAGAACCTGCCGGAACAAAGAAACCAGACCCAAGTGCCTCCAATGAGCCAGAGACTGACTTTGCCGCTCAGATCAGCCTGATTTCTGAGGCCTTGACAAGCACACAATTAATTCACATTTCAGCTGATATCTTCATATTTCTGAAGCAGACACCAAGGACCAGTCTGGCTTTACTGTAAAGAAGAATTGAAGTCATGCAGGTTTCCTACATTTTGATTCTTGCAAAGAAGAATTTAGCTTTCCAAGTTTATGAGTTTAAAGAAATAAAAAGAGGAGCATGTATATTTCTTGCAAAGGCTTTGCTGTGAGAATGCCAGCAGCTACATCAGCAGCAAAAACTACAACTAAATAATATATGAAACATAATAATCCGTCCAAAAAAATCTTGAGAACGGTTCATTTAATTCTGACAATTTTGAAGCTTTCACTGTGATACGATATATTTTGGCAGCCCGTCACCACGTGCCAAGTTAGAGCCATACACTATACGTCCCATTCCGGGAGCACGTACCAAGAAGATATGTCACATGTCTCGTCCACGGAACTTGGGATGGTGTCGTTTGACGTTGCTCTACACATTCCGGAATGGCGACCCGTCAGAAGAGTCGTCTCATCCCTCGGGGATCAGCAATAACGCCAAACCGACACACCACCAACCCTCGCGCCACGATATAAAACCCCTGGCCGGCCTCGGCCAGGGAGGAGGCAGAGAAAAAATGAAGAGGAAGAAAAAATCTCTTTCGTTACTAACTTGCTCGTTGGAGGGGCCACAGTTGGGTACCACCCGACGGAGGCTATGTTTTGCAAGAGGATAACAACCCATTAACGGTGAGGGGCTTGGCACAAGAGCGCGATCTGCCCGGCACCAAGGAGTCATAAAGCGGTCCCGACCCCAATCAACGCTCACCAGCACTCCTTCCCGAGAGCTCGGCCATCTTATCATCCGAATCACCCAACATAAAGCTCTCGACATCAACCCGCGAACCTAACCATGCTGACTCACCTGTCATAGTATATTTGTTCGCTAACACACTGCATGATGGAGATTGGTGAATTTATCCATGTATCAGGAAAGCTTCATAATAGTACAGCATACAAGTGCAGATCCATGAAAATAAATATCATAAGCATCCATGAACTATAATCATTTCTGATTATAGTTCAATGCATGGTTGAGAAAACATCAAATCGGTCATCATGCAGCCATTGTTACATTCACCATAATCTTGCTCGAGATATGGTAAATAAGCTTCTCAAATTCTTTTTCAGATTCTTGAGAAGGAAGACTTCAATCATAGCTGGAGAGCTCAAATATACATCAAAGTTAGGCACCGAACTGCATGTCATCTCTAAACCATCGTTGAGCACTTTGTGTCATCCCCACCTAACTGTTCCACCAAGTACATGTTGAAATACAGATCTTCGAGATCACAAGTCTTCAAAGCCTGGCAGAAATTGCTAATCATGGGAGAAGTTGTTAATGATCAATACGGTGCCAAGAACAACAAATTGCTCGATCTTGTATCATATGCATAACCAAAATTTTATCTATACGCAAAAGCTGAGAAAGATTCAGATTAATTTAGATCTAATGGCGAAGATTTGGCCATTACCTTGTAAATAAAAAAATGAGCAAGTTGATTGGATCCAAGTTTTATTGAACTTTCAATAGCATATATGTCAAAATTATCACGAGAGCAACACGAAGAAAAAAGTTTAATGATAACATGAATATTAAAATTGATCCATTCTCAAATTCACTGTAAAAAATCACTCGAGTTATCCAAAATCATCACTGCTTTCTTCTGTGAAAGAAATAAGATGATAATAACGATTGGATCAAGAACAAACATATAATTACCTGTAATTTGTTCTTTTGTATCGGAGGATGTTCATTGTTGGTGTTGGCATTAGTGTTTATTGTGGAGTCAACCCTACCACAACACATCGGAGCACTCACCTGCCGGGGTGGATAAACAACAACAAGTCGTGCCTCACTAATAGAAGAAAGATTCACTTTTTATTGTGATCATAATAGTCGTGGATTTTACAAAGAGATACCTTGACATGTGTGGTTTTTTATTTTGTATTTTTGGTTTTACGTATCAATCTTCGCATAACGATGAAATCTTTTTTTTAAAAAAATTTAGAATTTTATTTTTTATTATTCTGTTATGTATATGAAACTCTATCAAGTTTCTCAATAATTTAAACATGTTATAACATAATAACAAGAGATGTCAGTCATATTCCCTATAACTACAAATATGACGAGCAATATCAATTGTTCTTTTTTTCTCCCCTCATCCCAATAACTTCAAACTTATCCCAATACCTTATTACCCTCAAGGATGGTCCTGATGTTGAGACAAAACAACCCATTAAGCCTCATTCATGAATCTTGTTGTATATGGATCATTTCCATTAACTTGACTCGAATCATCTCAAGCATTATGATGATTGACTTATGACGAGCTTCCAATACGACTGAATCATCTCAAGTTATTCAGTTGAATATCACACTTCACTATTGTTCCAAAATTTAGCCCAATTTATAAGTAGTCTACCTGTTAATCAAATGTATGCATCATTGTCAGCCTTTTGAAGTTCATCAATTACTTGCGTAAAGTCATGTGCTCTTGTAGCACTCACAACTCTCCAAAATAATTTTTACAGTGCTAATCTCTTATGCTTCATCTTAAAATTATTATATAAATATTTTAAATAGAATCTATGCTCAACGCTGAAAGTAAGTGTGCAATGACCTTCAATATACTTTTTGTTTATCGGTGATGAATGTCCACTCATCTGAACTGCTAATTGAGATATTTAAATCTCTTACCAGTAAATTGATGAATCAATTCCATGCATCACTATTCTCTTTCTCAACAACTGCATATGCAAATGGATACATTTGATTATTTGGATCAATCGCAATAGCAGTCAATAATATACCTCTTGATGTATAACTTAAATGACGATAGGAACCATTCCTTTAGTGCAGCAAAGCATATGTAAATTCTACAAAAATATATAATTTTTGTTGTCATATGTATATTTGATGACACATGTGCTTTCCAAATTTTTGTTGTGTATCTCTTAGTGGTAATTTCATAATAAACCATATTCCTCCTTTTTATGATCATTATCAATACTTTATTCTTCACTCTATAATCATTATCAATACTTCATTCTTCATTCTATATACTTTGTGTATAGAAACATTCGAAACATATTTTTATTAGATTATTATTTTTAAAGACTTAGTTGGTCAAGTAGGATTCATTATAATCCTATCATAGTGTTTATCGTCAACCATTTAACTAGATGATTATCAAATGATCTCTCACATGAATGCTTTGTATTGAAAGCTTTTACTTATAAATTTGCTTGTATTTATATTTTCGATCCATATAATTCAGTCACGTTTAGCTTGTCATATCACCACAATATATGTTGGTTGATTGCAGCATAAAACTTTTTAACATTAGTAAAACATATTCTAAATTGAAAATCATAATTGTTCTTGTCATATTCAATATCAAAATATGAATATTATACTTTATTTTTATTTTTATCATCCATTTTGACATCAAATACTGTATTTTCACCATCACTATTGTCCACTTCTTAATTTTCTGATAATATGACGATAGATTATGGTCGAATATATATATAACTCTAGTGAGGTTTGTCTAATGAATCATAGACCGTTAATCAGTTTCATTCTCCTTCTCATTGAAATCACTATCACAATCAACAAGAATATCATCTATAATTAGAGGCAAAAATATTATTAACATAACAAAAGGAAAGATAACTCAACTGACATATTAAATAAGAATTCTATAAAAATATATAGCTATAAATTATAAAATTATCACCACAATATCTATCATTACATATATTTAATCATCAAGTGGACTACTTTTCTACTTAGTTTGAGCTTCATTATTGATGCTATATAAGTAGCTTTTTTAATGTATATAATGATAATGCTAGTTTAAATAGTTCTCGACATATTTAAAGAAAAAATTTTATTTATTTTTTGAATTGCATTATCTATATAGTGTTTTTAGGATATTTGACAAATTTTATACTTTCTTCTAGTATTTTTTTAAAAAAATTAATTTATATTATTAAAATAGAATGCAACACATTATAATTCAATAAATCTATATTCAACATAGTGATTCAAAATAAAAAAAAAATTAAACACTTGCCGAAGTTTTCATAATTCAATAACTCATTAATAAGATCTTTACCTTTACTAGAATTACTGTTGCTTGGGACCATTGCAACACTATGATCCTTGATTCTCACCAATATTACACCTAATGAGGTTCAAGAACTCGTCGACCTTAGTGAATAGCTGGTAGGCGATTAAGTTGGAAAGAAAAGCAATGGGTGAGTAGATTGAAAAGAAGGACGATAGACGAGCAGGTCTAGTGGAAAGAGGGGCAACGATCAAGCAAGTTGGAAAGAGGGGTAATAAGTAAGCAAGTGTGGCTGATGAACAGGTTGGAAAGAAGGACGGTGAGCAAGCATATGTGTTGGACGACGGACGAGTAGGTTGGAAAGAGGAGGGGAGACGTAAATCGATCGCCCTATATAAAATTAATAATTTTAAAGATAATAAATTTATTTATTTTTATCATTTTTATTCATGCGAATAAGTGTGATTTTTTTTCGTTGATAAAGTTAACAATTTGAGGTGAATTGAAATTAAATATTTTTATTTTTTTATAAATATAAAAAATTTAATATTATTTTTTAAATATAAAAATTAGGAAGCTAATCATAGTTTAACTAGTATAATCTGTAATGACCCCGTGCGCCTCACATTCTAACTCTGCTGTTTTGCTCGCAAGGGTTTTGTCTCCCCCGTCGCGAAAGTAGACTTCCCATGGCCGAAAATGAATGCAGCGGCGCCGGCCACCAGGCACCCACGCTCACGGCGGCGCCCCTTTCGCCAATTCCGAGAGAGACGTGGGAGGGCTGCAGCGTACTTCTCGACATCAATGACGGCGACCGCCTCGTCTTCGCTCGCCTTTCTCCGGCTGCGTTCGTCTCTTTAGCCCCGGCGCTTCTCTTCGTTCTCTCTCTTAGGGTTTCGACAACGTCCTATAGCATTTCCTTACTCTGGCTTTGACTCTGCAGGACTCTGAAGATCGGGAACAAGAAGTGTTCTCTAGGTCCATTGATGGGCTGCCCGTTCGGTGCTTTGTTTCGGGTCGAGAACGGCCCGGGTGGACCATATCTGGCGCGTTGCTCTCCTTCCACGTCTGCGGCTTCCAGTAGGCTTTCTTGGCCTTGCCCTTCTCTTTTGTGTCTTGTGTTCTGTTGCATCACATGATCAAGTTGGGTCGTAGGGGTTCCTTGGTTGGATTCTGGGTCATATGCTGTCTTGGCCTCGCTTCTTCTTCGTAGCTTCCTTTTTTTTTTGCATGTTGTTCTGTTGCATGATTTGATTTTGCCAGGCCCCAAGGGTTCCGAGGAAGTAATGTTCTTTTGTTGGGTCCTGGGATCATTGGTTTTCTTGGCCTCGCTTCTTTTTTGTAGTTTCCCTTGTCGCATGCTGTTGCATGATTTGATTATGCCAGGCCTGAAGGGTTCCAAGGAAGTAGCGTTTTAGTGCATCTACAACTATTCAGTGCAACCCAACACCTCTTTTTAAGCTTCTACTTTGTGAAACCATCCACTCTTAGAGGTTATGGAAAGTATATTTCATATGCATACTCCAGAAGAATTACACTTTATGACATAAGAATCAAATATTACTTCTACACTTTTAGTGCAGTTTTAGAAACAAAGAATGCAATAGATAGAGATTCAGTTTGATGTTTTTCTTTGATTGGCAGTATTTTTTCTTGTTATAAAGTTATAGTAAAGACTATTCTAGAATAGAAAATTGTAGTATGCTGTCCTGAAAATAGTAGTGATATTAATAATATGTAGAAACCAAGAAACTCTTGCAAGCATAACATATAGCTCTCCATGGTTCTTTTCTCTTATAGTTTTTTTTATTGCTTTTTTAGTTTTTGTATAGAGTGATTTTGATTATAATCAACATTGTTTTACAGATAACTCTATGCAAGAAAGTGAGAAGGGGAACACAACGGAGAACAACAGAGACAACCGATTATTAATTGACAATAACACAGCCCAAAATCTATCTAGCAATGATATCGACACAATGCGGAAGTTAGTCATAAGATCATGCTTGTCATATATTGTATATGATGTATACGTTTGCTGATGCTTTACCTTTGTTGAATGCTTATATGTTGTCCATCAAAATGCTTATTTTGTCACCTCTAATGCAATGTGAAATATATAGCCTCTGGCTCTTTGCTTACTATTATTACATGATGTTCATGTCAATGTCATTCTATGGGCTAGTGTGTGGAGTTTTGACATGTGTGCCTAAAATACAATTTGAACAAATAGTGTCAATGCTGTCGTTTCATGCAAAGCAGTAATGTAGGATATGATATAGGAATGCTGAGTGTTAAGGGTCTTTAGTGCATGTGATTAATGTTCAAATTAGTGACTGCAGTAGGTAAATGTTTCTGCAGCTACGTTGAATAAGACTTATGTAATATGTACAAGGGAGCCACTTGACCACATCCATATGATGCATATGTTACCAGATACTTCAGTTTTCTCAGAACAATCAAATTACCAATGTATCATGTTTTAACAACCTTATAATAAACTAATCTCTTCATAGCCTTTAAGGCTTCCAGGCAATTTCTCTTACCCTCTCTGATATTGACTTATTATTATCATCCTAGCAGTTATCTGTGTCTAACTTGTTATTTCTTTTACGAATATTGGAAATTTATTTTTTGAATGCAAGATTAGGAATGTCAATATCTTTGGTTTCAAACTAAAACTTCAAAAAATTAACAGGAATTTTTTTTGAATTAATAGATTTTATGGCAGAATACTTGAGTTGGCGACAAACTGTTATATAATTGATTACTATTCGTTGTTGGCCACTTGAATTCTTTTCATTTTCTTCACAAAAAAAATAAAGGATAATTGGACATTATGATGTGATTGCACTTAACATATTAGCAGCAGCAGACATGATCGGCATGGCTATTCACTATATGTCTAGTATGAAGTGTACCTTGCTAATATTGGATAAGCACCAGGGCATTCTGTAATAAGTAAATCCTTGGTAAGAAAACTACAATAAAAATCTAGTATTTGTATAAGACATGATTCCTTTTTTTTTGTCATGGTTAAGCTCAAATTGAGGAAAACTGTTGCACAATTGAATCTTAGTTACTTCAACGGATGTTGCCAGTGATTCACGGGCTTAGAAAGCAAACCGGGGGTGGAGGAGAGTTTCTTATCTCCTCTCACATCATTTCTGTTGCCCAAACCTAGTCAACTCGTATACCTATATATATTGATGATAATTGTACATGTGATGTACATACTAAGTTTTATTTTCATCAGCCATTGGATTTTTGGTTTGATGGCACTTGCTTGCACAAGTATCACATGGCATCTTTTAGCATGTTAGTTTTCTTTTGTGTTAGTCAGTGATCAGCATTTAAGACCCAGTGCTTTCTCTCTTGTAATTTGATAATGTAGTTTTCCCAATGCTTCTTTGGTCCACATGTTTGGGCTTTGAGGAAATGAATGTTGTTTGGCTATTCCTATTATTTCTGCTAATGCAGAGAAGGTGCTACTGGTGATGAAATTATTGAAGCTCTTATTGCTAATAGTTCCACATTTGGGAAAAAAACAGTGTATTCACAAGTAAGTAAATGATAATGTTCTCATTTTGTAATTTGAATTTTGAAAATGAACTGATTAATGAATTTATCTGCAGGAGAAATACAAGCGCAAGAAACAGAAGAAATATGCGCCTAAAGTACTTTTAAGGCGCCCTTCGGCTCGAAGGTGATACATTGGTCTTCATTGCAACTTAAGCCTGGTCTTCATTTGTTTTATAATCTGACTTGTTCTCCTTTTCTTGCTATGAAGTATCTGTGAGACATACTTCAAGAAATTTCCAGCTCGAACAGGGTAATTATTTTCACCTTTTGCATTATCACATCTGTGGTTTTTTTGGTTTGCTGCTTAAGGAATATAATAAGACAGCCTGAAGAATGGAAGTATGATACTTTGGGATCTTCAGCTTGCCCTTTATTCTTCTTATCACAACCTGAGCTATGGAAGTTTACAACATTATATTCATATGCATTCTTTTGCCACTGACATCATCAATCATATCACATTATTCGTTTAGTAACATAACCTGATATGCGGAAGTATATAACATTATTTTTACATGCATCTTTTGCCTCCACATTGAGAATCTTATCTAGATTTTTGTTTATGCTGAATTCCCTTTTTTTTATAAGTTAGAACTTTAGAAAGTTGAAGTAGTTAATTAATGTTTAAATTGATCTAATATCTATATCTGTAACATATTGGACCCATTCAGTGCTACTATATAAGGCAGCATACCAATTTGTACTACCCAGTATTTCTGAATAAAATAATATAAAATGAATTGTATATGTACTGGTATTGAGGTACATATTTTGAAAGTAGTGCTTGGACTGGTAAATACTGATGAGTATGTATCAGTCTGACCTGTATTTTAAACCTTGTAATTAGCAAGATTCAGCTAATCCAGTATCTTAGTTGTTCACTTGTATGATGGATTATGTTTCTGTGCCTAGAAATGTTGATGTTCTGATATACCTTTTACTCTAAATTATGTTGGCTATATATTATATGCTTTGTATTTGTAGCTTTTGTCAAAGTGTTGGGCATATTTTATCAGATGCAATAAAGTATCAACCTTAAACATAAAGTTGTTTACACTATTTGCTATTTGCTTTATGACTCTAATGGCTACCCTTAATCTCCTACATTGTTTTCATGATGTATGACTATGTGTGTTAATCCTGATTTTCATGATTGTCCAATCACCAATGACAAAAGCTATAAAAACAAATGACCGCATTAATCTCCAACTGTAATGGCTACAAAACCAAATCACCACTTATTACTGGCTAATTGTCATGTCTAAAGAATCGACTTTGCATTTAACCAACTAACTGCTAATAGCAAGATTAACTACATATGCACATTTAGCTTTGTGATTTAAGGGTATATATTTACTGTACTTATTACAACAACAGCAAGGTATGAACCTAGTTTATGAGCACACAAGCAAAATCATGTTGACAAGGACAACATTTACTTTTACTGGTGGAGATATAACTCATGCTTTGGCAGATATTAAGAAGAGGCTCACACATGTTTATGAGTTTCTCAACTATATAACACAAAGTTATATTGAGTCAGACATGCAATAATGACAGTTTTCAAATATGAAGAGAAATAAATCTGATTTCATACTTGCACGTGGAATTACTTGAACTTTTTTGATGTTTTGCAAGTCATAAAATTGTCATGAGTTTTTAATTTCTCAAGTTATATATCCAAACTCTAATTTTCACACATAAAGTTCCATGTGCTTGTTTCTTTATATTTGCAAAAATAGAAATAAATAAACTTTTGGTAGAGATGAAGTGGGCTTCTAGGAACGTGCACAAATAATACACGTGCACAGCACTTATGCTGATTGCAGATACATGAATATTTATATAAATGGGCATTTGCCACTAACTTCTTTTGCTATATTGATCACTGTTTGAGATTAATTCTGATGGTCATATACCAAGTCTCATTTTGTTATGACCAGTCAATTTTTGGCTTGAGTCCTATATATCCATGTTTGTAACACAATCATTCTTTGGCACAGCCCAATGCTTCTACATCATAACTTCATCTATAGCTAAATACTAGTAAATGTTTGCTTAATGAGTATGCATTATTTTGAAACTCTTTTCTGTTACTGATAGGTTTTTGAGAGTGGACACACTATCTCTCCTCCTCTGCATGGCTAATGTCGGAGCACACTCAGATGTCCTTGTGGTAGATATGATTGGAGGCATACTTACTGGTGCTGTTGCAGAACGACTAGGAGGTAGGCATTTTTGTTAGTTTTTGGAAGTATTCTATTACTGGAAGTCTGAAACTAATCAAGTTAATTAAAAGCGTGTATCTAGTGTGCCAGTCTCTCGTCAATCTGGGGTTCGGGGAGATCAATAAGTACAGAGAGACTGAGGTTATAAACAGAAATCTTTTGACAATATTAAGCACAAAATTATATAACATTAATGGTTGAATATGAAGAAACATGATATAAGGTTTCTATTTTCTTGTATTTGGTTGTATCAAAGTCCATTGTTGGCATATTTTTAGCCTTTAACTTTTTAATATTTTTTTCTAAAGTTTTATCTTCCTTACGCATATTCAATTAATAATTGTTTAGCTCAATATCTTTAAGATCAGGTGTTTATTGTTTGTTCTGCTTTCTAGACTTAGTTTAACTGTTTATACTGCAACCTTGATTTGATCTCTTATGTAGTCTATATTGACTAGTAAAGTTCAATATCCATGTTTTTCTATGTGTATTCTCTTGTTGTTCGCATAGGTTCTCTAAAAAGCTTAATACAAGGTTCTCTACTGGTGATCCTTGTAAATTATGTTTTTGATGTTCTTATGGGATTCTACAATTTAATTTATATTTTTTTTAATTATATTTAATTTTTATTTATTTTATAATTTCTAGATCTAAGTATGCTAAACAATCTAATGATTATTTTTATATTTTTTAACTTTGATACCATCCTCTAAACCCAAAGTCGAACCATTTAAAACCTAAACCGTAGACCCTACATCCATATGTTAAGCTCAAGGTAGAGATGAATATTTTTCTTATCTCTAACATACACATAATTGTAAATTATTCCTTTATATTGGTAGAAGCACCTCATACATTCAAATTTCCCTAGTAACCCTTTATTATATCTTTTCTGTTTATATACCTAACCTTGTATTTAGCAGACCATAAAATCATATTAGGGTGGATGCCCCACTACGAACTCTTTATTAGACCTTTTTTGCTATTTAAATTCTATATTTGTATAATATAAGCTTTTGTTTTTAGTTATTCTTTCTTTTCCAATTGGTCCTTGTAATTGCTCAATCCTGTCTATCTTTTCTACGAGTTCTGATTTGGTGTAGAGTGTAGACTACTGTATTCGAGCTTGTTGTTTAGTTTTGGTTACTGCTTTTCTTGTATTTACTTGTCTCAATGTCTATTGGTATATTTTTAGCCTTTAACTTATTTGTAAAGTTTTGCCTTCCTTTCTCATGCACAATTTTATTTATATATTTTTAGAATTTATATTTTTTTATTATTTCTTTTAGATTTTCAACTTTTGTTTTAACTCAATTAATAACCGATTAGTTTCTATCTAAATAGTTTTAGATCAGAGGCTTTTTAGTGTTTCTACTTCTTTAATTCTTTCTTATTAGGACTTTTTTTTCTACTACTTCCTTTATTTGATCTCTATTTATTTCCTAGTAGAGTTTGATTTCCACTTTGATTAGGTTGCTTAGATGGTTCTAAAAGTTCTGTTATTACTCTATTTGTCTTCTCTTGTTGTTTGTGTAGGTTCTCTGAAAACTTTAATATAAGGTTTTCTATAGGTATTTTTTTGTATATTATGTTTTTGCTGTTCTTATAGAATTTTACCGTTTAATTTATATCAATTTTCTAAATGTCAAACCCTAAACCCTAAGATGGACCCTTTAAAACTTAAATCCTGTACCTTGGATCCAGTGTCAAGTGGAATGCCTAACCAACCCGACTTGGTCTTGGTCCGACTTGCGCTAGGAGCCTTCAAAATTGCTTGGCGTGCCTACGAGAGTTAGATGTAGAGTCAATCTACAGATGTGATCCCTCAACAATTAAGTCGAGATGCAGCCCGGTTCGCCTTTTATGGGACCCCTTACCTATTAACGGTCAAGAGGAATGTTCCATGGAGTGGGGGAATATTCTTTGGATGTTTTGTGTTCGACGGATGCTGACGTGGTCGATTGGTGATTGTGGACTTTCATCTTCCACTGACTCGGATGTTACATGTCGGGTTCTAATTGGAGGTGAATATTTCCCCTATCACTTGTCAACAATGAAAATAATGGTAATGCTTCACCTAATCAAGGATTCCTAATCATGAACTTTTATGCAGCCTTAAGATTAAATTCGAAGTTATAGATTTACTCCTATGGAACATATGGACACGTTTGTTAAGTTATATGTTTGACAATCTTGCTAAATACATACTTATGTGACAATCTTAGCACTGGATTTTTGATATTAATATCAGTGTCATTTTGGTTTAATCAATTAGTAAGTCGTGTGAATTAATGATACAGGTAGTAATTATTGTTTTTCAATTTTTTGACAAGCAAATAGCATTTTTATGGTTGCTAAAGAAATTAGAAAGTAGACTACCTTAACAGTGACAAGATCGTTTTTCACTTTTTTTGATTAGTTTATTGTTATAATTTTTTTAATGTTAATCTAATTAAATTAGGTTCTCTTAGACTTGATTGTCTCATATAAACTAAAATAAAATGTAATTACAGAGGTTTTAGTTTTCGAATTTAGCTACTTTTTCCATCTGATATGAAGTTAGAATTTTGCATTCCAATTTTAAGTTTTACTTGTGTTATTTTCTTTGGTATGACAGGCACAGGCTATGTTTGTAGCATTTCTTTTGGAGCAACACCTTACCCATCAGATATAGTTAGAATGTTCAATTTTAGTAATGAAGTACGCAGCAGGTAGAGTTCTTTTTCTCAGGAAAGAGTTAATACAACTTCTTCCTTGCTAAGTGGCTCACTCAATGTTTGGAAAAAGAATTTTCAAAGCAGCTCTAACTGTTAATTCTCTTATAATTTCTCAAATTTCTCATCTTGTTCAGTTTATACATTTATTTTGGGCTAAAGGGCAATATTATTCTGGGTTTTGGTAGTTAGGATGGTTAGTTATTGAAAACTATTAAATACTTGCCAAATCAGAAAATGGGTAATAATTATAATTAAATTTAAGATCAGGAAATATACACCTCTCCTACTGGGGTATAAGCCCAAGGATCTCTAATTTATTACCTCTATTTTGAACTTAGTCTTTGCAAAAGGTGTTGGTTTGGTATTTGGATAATTAAACTAAGGTCAAAGGTAAAAAGGCAATTGCAGCAAAAAGTAGAAGTCAGCTTGAATACGTGAGCTGTTTGGTTAGGTTTGATAATTTGGAGTTGTCCGTTTGACCGTAGCTGATATATAAGTGATTTTGCATATATATGTATATATATTTTTGGGGCATACAAGAATATGTTAATTGATAGACTCAAATAAATATATGATAATATGTGCACCTAATACTTCGACCGACTATAGCTGATTTTTCCTTGCAGAGATGCACATGCATGTAGTGTTTTGAACTATCAACCTTATAAAGGCTAATGCTAAGGTATTAGAGAAACCAGTATAGGCATAAAGAGCTATTGACCTATGAGAAATAATGGCTAACTTAGCCAAGGAATTTGCTAGCACATTTATGTCAGTATAGATGCACGACATGTGATTTCTTTAAAGAATAAATTGTTGAACATATTATGGAAAATTCATAATATGCCAAGGGATGTCTTCCTGCTTTTAGAATGCATTATCATGTCTCTAAAATGGCTCTTGGACCTTGATGGGGATCAGAGCACTAAGACATCGTTACGACAGTCCAAGCGGATGCAAAGAGCTCTCGATCACTACCTCGGAGCAGCATGGGCCTAAACGCCCATGGAAGGTCCATCCTACATGTTCTTTTATTTTCTTATTGGATTATAGTAGGATTTAGGCATGTGACACATTGTATTATGCTTTGGGCATGAGCTTGTATGAGGATCATCAAAGCGGATGCAATACACACATCTTGAGGTGCATATTATGAGGATCTTAGATCTTAGAGGGGCCGCATCTCCATCCTATGAACCCCTATCCATCTCTCTTCTAGAAGGGGATATGTGACATTCATCTAGGGGTTTTCATCCAAGGGATCATCAAAGTGAGGAGAGTCTTCAACAGTGATTTAAAAAGGCGCTCGGGCGAGGCGAGGCGAGGCCCGAGCGTCTCACTTCATTTCCATGCGACGCACTTCAAAAAGGCGTCGCCTGGGCGCTCGCCCGAGCCCAGGCGTCGGGCGCTTCGGGCGAGCGCCTGAGTTAATCCAGATGATCGAACCAGTGTTTGAGGTCTGGTTCGGTCTCCGGTGCTTTAGTTGGTTCAATCGAACCAACTAAAGCATCGATATCAGCATGACTTCCCCAACCCTAACCCTGCTCACCGTTCATGCTACCGCTGCCGCTGCTCGCTGCTACCGCTGTTGCTCCCACTGTCGCTGCTCCCGCTACCGCTATCGTTGTCGCTGCTACCGTTGCCACTGTCTCCACTCGCTGCTTCCGCTCCTACTGCTCGCTGCTGCCGATGCCACTGTCGTCGCTTGCCGCTCCCATTGTCGCTGCTGCTGCTTGCTGCTGCCGCTGCCACTGCCACTGTTGTCGCTCGCAGCTGCCACTCCCGCTCTTCTCAGTCAACACCCTCAGTCTTCCAACTCTTCCCTTACACTCTTCTCCTCTTTCGATAGTATACCGTTAACAGTATACAGTTAACAGTATGCTGTTAACTGTATACTAGTAATAGTATTTGTATTTATTAGATTAATTTAATAGCATATTTTTATTTAAAAATTTAAATAATTATATTTATTAATTATATTATATATTTTTATATTTTAGCGCCTCACTTCGCTCGGGTGAGCGCCTAGCGTCTCGGGCGTTTTTGGACCTTGGCGCCTTTTGGCGCCTAGCACTTTTTAAATCACTGGTCTTCAAGGGTGAGAGACCTTAACCTAAGATACCTAAGTGAGGAGAGAGTACTCAAAGGTGAGAGGTCCTATCTTTTGTTTTCATTCTCACCTTTCCCACCTCTCTTCTCCTTCATTAGCCACCATCGTTGCCACATAAGCAATGGTAGCAACTATTACTATTATCGTTACCTATTAGTATCGTTGGTATCGAGTCAATAAATTGTTGAACCTGAATCCCGTACAGATCACAACATGCCATTGACATAGTTCCAAGAGCCACCTTACTCAATTTACCCCACTATTAGATGAATCCCACTAAGCATATAGATCTCAAGAGACAAGTTGACGAACTACTTTGTAGTCGATTTATAAAAGAAAGCCTTAGTCCTTGTTGAGTACCTACTTGTCTTTTCCTAAAGAAGGATGATAGTTGGTGTATATGCATTAACTATAGAGTCATCAACAAAATCACTATCAAGTACTGATTCCCCATCCTTAGGTTCGATGGTATGTTAAATCTCTTAACGGATTCTAAGTGGTTTACCAAGATTGATCTTGGGAGTGGTTACCATCATATAAGAATCTAACCTAGTGATGAGTGGAAACCATGTGGAAATTGTTAGGGACTAAGCTTAGTTTCTCCTCGGTGTACCACCCCAACTGATGGTCGGATCAAAGTGGTCAACGAGACGTTAGGTGACTTGCTTCGTTGTGGTAAGTGACTGCATAACAAACTGGGGTAGGGTATTGCTTACAGTTGAGTTCATATTTAATAATGCCATCAATCGCTTAATTGGTCTTCGTCCATAACACGTTGTCCTTGGCTATCAACCTAGAAAACCTATTAACCTTGCACCTCTTCCTATCCACTTTCGTCCCTCCGACATAATCTTTTGTTGCACACATTCATGAGTTGCATGACGAGATTAGATGAAAGATTCTTTGAGCAATAAGTTATATAAGTTAACAGTAGCAAATATGCACTGTAGATATCAATCCCTTCATGAGGGAGAGCAAGTGATAGTAAGGATCAAACCTGAGATATTTCATAGGGGCCATACGAAAAGTTGTATGTGAGGAGCATAGGTCTTACAAGGTACGATAGAGGGTCGGTGATAATGCCTACATCCTTGAGCTGTAAAGAGATATGGGCATCAGCAATATCTTCAACATAGAAGACCAATCAACTTACTATGAAGCTATAGAACTATGTTGGAGATACACTTCTAAGATATTCATTGGTTTGCAATAGCGACAATAGGACCATTCCTTTACTTCCATACCAGTATCTCCACTTCTATAGTTCCCTCTACACTTGATCGTTCGGGAGCTGGTCAAGAACAACCTGGACGACTAGCTCATGATCTCTCCCACTAACCAAGAGCATAGATATTTAGTACAATGGCGTTGACACTCTGACCTTGAGGACACATGGATCTCAGAAGAGGAGAGACTTTAGGACACAGCATGAGTTGTTCTAGTGATTGTTATAAGCATGCTGGTACTTATTAGAGTCACAAGGCCTAACAAGTCACTATATACTGCATACAGAATCTTTAATCATTTCATGTAAAAGTTCATGAAGCCTATAGAGACAAACAAAGCTCTACAAAGGGAAGCAAGCATGCATGTGTCATGGACAAAGTCTACATAAATCAGACTATATCAACTATGGGGGGATCAAATATTTGAGCTCTTTATTTAATACAAGAATATCAATAGATGAGCTAGTCATGGTCAGCAGCATGTTACTGTAGGGAGGTTCTTTGAGGAAAGTTCTGAAAACTTTGCAGATCGGTTCAAGATCATAGCACATTCTTGTTTCATATTATGATTCTCACTACCCATTTTTTATGAGGTCCTGCTTCACTGTTCCTGTCTTCTCCATGTATATGTTTAAAATGAAGAAACATCTAATAGGAATCACATTTTCAGTAATTTATGAAGCTTTTCTTTAGTTTTCGCTTAAACAAGGTTCAATCTGATGAAATATATTTTTGCGTATGTGATCTTGAATATCATTATAAGTCATGTCATTGCACTTCATAATGCAGGATTGTTCAAATTCCTTTTTCTGATCTGTGTAAATCACATGAGAGCCTGGAGTCCTCAGAAACTCTATTAAATGTTAAAGAATCCTCAACACTTGCTGAATCTTCTTCATACAAAAATTCAATAGCCATATCAGCGGAGCCAATAAATCAGGAATTAGATCTTATGGAGGACCAACCAGTTAGCAATGAAGAGATGTTAACTTTTCCTGCCAACAGTGAACCTAATCCCCTTTCCTCAAATTCATGTTCCACTTATACCATTGATTGCAAACATGAGAATAATGCTTCAATAACTCACGAACCTGTCACTAAGGGAAGAAGACCACCACCAGAAATCGTAGACTGGTGGAAGACAAATGGCTTTAGTAGGTAATGCAAATGTGATTTCAATGTAATTGAGTGGTGTATTATTCTCATTGAATGCCCTTTCTCATTTGTGTAGTTTGATAGTTGCTGCACCAGAATCAGATGTGGGGACAATAGTTCAAGAACTGCTGCCACTTCTATCGTATTCTGCACCCTTCGCAATTTACCATCAATACCTTCAGGTGATTTAATTTTCTGAATGCATGTCTAGTTTAGATTCTCGTCATAACGAGACAAATAATGAGAACATAGTTTATTTAATAATCAGTTGCACTTTATCGTTCTTATTTACTTGGACTTTTGTTCAGCAATCTAACTAAATGGTATGTGCCTCTCTTCTCTTCTGATAAATTTGCTTGCATTCATTCCTCTTAACTTCAGTATTCTCCATTAGTGTATTGGTTGGATATTGGTCCGTTGGCTTGCTAGAACATGGTATGGACTGGTATTGAAATTTTCGTATCTCCTACTTCTTCATCCTTTTTTAAAGGAAAAGTGATCCGTATGGGGCTTGAGTTCGATAATCTGTTGACTCGATATCACTTTTTGGATGGAAGGTTTGGCGGAGGAGAGAATTATGATAGAAAAACCAAACAAAAAATCAAAAGAAAACAATCTCTATTGTTCGTAAAGTTAAAGTCCTAACTACGAGACTTGAAACAATGGAAATAGAAGTGTGAAAGGAAGCTTAGGGGTGCATGAAAATGCAGGTTGTTTTATTGGACAACACGTCGGTGCTCTTGGCAGTTGCGTTCGTTGTCGGTCTTCGGCCTTGTCTTCTCTTTGCTGTTGGAATCTTTTAAGGTTTGGACAGCAGGCAATAGGCATTGAGGGCTTCTCGTACCAACTAGACGAAGTTCTGGGGCGGAGCTTTGGACTATTGGAACGTGAGGAAGAAGGCTGCAGTTGGAAGAACCTTAAGGTTTAAGGACTTTTCTTGTGGGGCGCAGCAACTAGGGTTTCCCTTGTAGGGCAGGCACCCCTCTTGGTGGTTGCCCTAATCCGAGTCCTATTAGGGTTTGGATTGAGGTGAGAGGGCTGTTGTTTCTTTGGCTTGGGCTTTGCTTGATCGAACATGGTTGAATAGTGTTGAGATCGTCCCAGATCAAAAAGATTGTCTAAACTTGTTAAAAAAGTAAAGATCCTCTTCAGTGAAGTCACCGGGTGCACGGGAGCTCGCCTAGGTGCCAAGACGAGGCGAGGCCTGAGCGCCTACCTATTGGGCTAGGCTGGCGACTTGACTCAGGCATGGCCTAGGCACTGGGCGAGCTGGGTGCCCACCTAGTTCAACTCAGGCTAGGTCGAGCCTGAGTTGAACCAAAACATTTATTTGGTTCGATTGAACCAAGTATCTATTGCAGAAACCTGGAAACAAAAGTCCTTTCTCCATTGTGTTTCTCATGGTGGCGGAGTTCCTCCCATCGATGAACGACGGCAACAACGGCGATGTCTTCCTCCAACGGTAGTGGTGGGTCTTCTTTCGACGGTAGCAGCGATATCTTCCTCCGGTGGTAGTGGCAGCTTCTTCCCTCCCTCCAGATATATCTTTCTTTCTCCTCCCTCCTACTTTTGCCTCGTTCACCGCAGCCCTCCTACGTTGATCGCCACAACCCTCCTATGCAGCCCCCCGTTTCCCCCCTTCTTCCCCAATTGCTTTTCCCTCTTCCCTCTTCCTTCTTCCTTCTTCCTCTCTTCTCCTCTTCCCCTTTTCTTCGTTCACTGCTGCCCTCCTATCGTCCTACATTCCTCGCTTTTCCCCCATTTTTTGTGTGGCAAATTTGGAGTATTTGGAATTGTTCCTTTGGATGTTTTTATGCTTGAGTTTTGGATTTTTTTTCTATGAATTTTCTAGAGGTTATGTTTTCTACCAGTTCAATGATAATTGGTTTGGAATTTGGTTTTACAAGAATCTAGTATACATGCAATATGTGTGTTACTTAGTGATTTAAAAAGCGCTAGGCGCCAAAAGGCGCCAAGGTCCAAAAACGCCTGAGGCGCTAGGCGCTCGCCCGAGCGAAGCGAGGCGCTAAAATATAAAAATATATAATATAATTAATAAATATAATTATTTAAAATTTTAAATAAAAATATAAAAATATATAATATAATTAATAAATATAATCACATTAACAGTATAAACCTGATGACGGAGAAACGAGGAATCAGCGGCGACAGCGGTAGCGGCGAGCGGCAGCGGGAAAGGGAGCGGGAGCTGCGAGCAGCGGGAGGGCTCGCGGGAGGCGCGAGCAGCGGGAGCCGCAAGCAGCGGGAGACGCGAGCAGCGACAGCAGCGAGCAGCGGCAACGGGAGCAGGAGCGACGAGAAGCGGGAGGCGCGAGCAGCGATAATGGCGAGCAGCGGCAAGGGGAGCAGGAGCGACGAGCAGTGGGAGGCGCGAGCGGCGACAGAGGCAGCGTTTGCGAGCATCGACAGCGGCGAGTGGCGACAGAGGCAGCGTTTGCGGGCAGCGGGTTAGGGTTGGGTAAGGGTTATATCGGTTTAGTTGGTTCGATTGAACCAACTAATAACCGAACCAGGACCGAACCAGACCTAAAATCCTGGTTCGGTCGCCTTGGTTTACCCAGACGCTCGCCCGAAGCGCCCAGGCGGCGCCTGTTTGAAGCGCGCCGCTTGGGAGATTAGCGAGGCGCTCGGGCCTCGCCTCGCCTCGCCCGAGAGCCTAGGCGAGCGCCCGAGCGCCTTTTTCAATCACTCGTGTTACTTATTGTTGATTGGGTATAAAGCTTTTAGTGGAAATAGCATTAGAGCATTCTCACATAAAGTGGTTCTGTGCATTAGTTTGTATGAACTCATTGGACACCTGATGTTGTACCAACAGCATTAGGAAGTACTGTGCATGCATAAGATAGAACTTTGTGCATGTAAAGTTGCACATCTTTGTGCACTGGATCAGTTGAGAACAGCAGCTGCCTGCTGTGATGAACAATGTAGTTTGGTATTTTAAATGAATACAAGTTTGATCTGTTAAATTATAATTTTTAAATTATAGTGCTTTTGAGAGCATTTTTAAATTATAATAATATTATAATTTTTAAATTATAATATTTGAGAGCATTTTGTTTTGTTCGGGCAAGTGCCTAGTGCCTTGGGCATTTTGGAACCGTGGCACCTTTTGGTGCTTGGTGCTTTTGACTACCCTGAATCTCTTCTAGTAGTATTAATTGCTGATAGAAATAATTAAGATAGTACCATTTATGATGATAAGGTCTGTACAAGTAAAAATTCCCTGAACTTGCCAACTTCTTTATATTAGTTAATATACATTGCCCGTATTATTGGTTGGGCTCAAAACCAAGTTATTTTCATTTTCATGAAAGAAGCTTGTAACCTTCACTTTGTCAGCAAATGCATAATAACAATGATGATGCAATCTCGACTACAAGTTATTTAATATGATTTAAAGGCAACATTATGTGAAGATCCCAGCCTCAACTTTGTCTAGACAAATAATTTGAACAAAAGCAGGTCAAATTTCAGAATTAACATGTGAAAAGATGTATTGGATGCTCCAAGGGGTACCTAGGTTTCATGTTAAATGTGGTCAAAATTAGTAAATATAATTGGTTATAACTAACATGTTTTATGGTTTTAACTAATTTACTTACAAGCTTATTGTTGGAGAGAGAATATTTTTGTCACGAAGCATGATTTGTTGGGACATTATGGCTTGTTGTCCCAAAGCATGATATTAGTTTTCTTAGTCTCATCTGACTTGTAACTAGTAGCTAGACTAAGTAGTTTTGTCATTTGTTCACCTGTTGGTCGTGAAATCTGCAGCCCCTTGCAACGTCCATGCACAGATTACAAAATTCAAAAATGGCAATCAATCTGCAGATTTCTGAACCTTGGCTTCGTGAATATCAGGTACCTTAGTTTGCATAAATAATGGAAAGTATAACTGAAATGATATATTCTTTTACATTTAAAATAGCATAAGTTGCAGTTTAGGTTAATGTGAAACTTATTATATTAGTTTTTTATTTATAAAGTTTGCTATACACGAACATATGATTTGTTACTTTTGACATAATTTGGTTGTAAAAAGACCATAAAACATGCCAAAAAATTGAAGCTTACATCTAGATTAAGGAATATTTCACCCCCAACTCATTTAGTTCTAGTTGTCCATGCATCAAAAAGCTACTCAGACATTCGATGAACATGCCATGTCAACTTCTTCTGGTTATGCCACCAGGGAAGACCCTCATCTATACAATGAGGGAAGAAATTAGACAAGAAACTGCAATGCATACTTGATAATTTAATATGAAGTGGCTTTAGTATCTTAACCCTCCACATAATAGTGGCTACTGCTTAGATCAGTGGGATCAAAAGGATAAATACACAGTTTGCAAACTTTAAACGTTTGAGTAACTATTATAGTTCCTGCTATCTTTAGACGATTTGATTGATTTTTGTGGTGGTACAGGTTCTTCCATCACGTACTCATCCACTAATGCAAATGAGTTGCTTTGGTGGTTACATGCTAAGTGGGATCAAAATTTGTAACAGTGACACTTGTGAAAAATAAATGATGCTTTTGCTTGAAGAATGGGACGATTAAGGCTTTGATGATGAACGATGTTCTTGCAGGAGCATGCCATTTAACCTAACAATGTGGGTTATTCTTTGTTCATGCAGCAGATGGTGGGTAATGTTTGTTGGCGACACCTATATGTCCTAGCTTGTAACCTAACACCAATTTATGATATAAATATATGTCCGTGAATGTGAGAGTTTGCGCAAGAACTCTCTTTGAAGGTTTTCTGGAGAGGTGTTTCCATTTTTAAATTTTCCCAAACAGTGGTTTTTTTTTATCATCTTCTTCAGAATACTCCCGATAAGACAATAGAGTAGCTTTCATCTTTTCTCATCCAGTCCATGAGGTAAAGTGATCTATCGATGCCAACCCCACAATTCCTTACCTCTTCGTGTTATTTTTGAATAACACCGTTCAGACCTTTCCTTTCTCGCATGACATTCATCTTTGGTTCTTGAATAGATGCAGTTGTTCTTCTCCTGGTTTCAATTGATGAACGGTCTTTGGTTTGCAATTGTTCCTCTCTTGAATAGATGCAATTGGTTCTTGAACTGTCTTTGGTTCGTCTACCTGAGGATGAACCGTCTTCGATTCTTCTTCCTAAGGATGCAAGGACACGACAGCAGTGTAATGTAGAAAGAAAGGTTATCTAGTTTCTTGCCTCAAGGACTCTGATGTTAAAAGGAAATCGTTGCTAACGATCAAGTGGGATGTCCTAAATTTAGAACCCTACTCTTTCTCCTCTTGTGATCTTTTTTGGTATCACCGAATAGTATTTCTATGTTTTTAGTCTTCTACTTGGTTTAGATAAAAATTGTCCGAGTAAAAATGATGATGCAGTAACTAGGCCAAATATTTTATTATTTTTAATAATTTTTATTTTTATTTGGTTAAGGTTTAATCATAGTGGTTTTGATTATAAACCTCTTAAGCTCTTATGATTTATTCGTTTTTAAAATAATCTTTATATATTTTAAAACGTAGTATATAAAGTCACTTTCGTCGAGTTTAAGTTAGATGTTTGAGTATGTTTATGTGGTATACTAACTCATAATAAATAATTAATATAATGATATATATAATTTAAATTTAAAAAAATCGATAATATATGAATTTAAAAACATAGACCAATTGTCTAATCAACATTTTGAAGGTGAGCGAGAAGACGCTAGTCTTTATGACGGAGTGCTCCCACTTCTTCTACTTTTCCTGTATTGTCGCCCACATCAACTAACCAACCTCGATTGCCTCGTCTGCTCCGCCTTCAAGGGCCACGCCCCCTTTCTCTTCGTGCTTCGTTGTCAAGAAGACGATGCTCCCACTATTGGGCAAGGGGTGACGGGAGAGATGAAGAACCAAAACTTGAATAGGTGAATTACCAATGATGATAGTCAGATCACCACCAAAGGCAAGGAATGGTAGCTGGGGGAGAACAAAGTGGCTATCACCGCTATCACTGTTGTTGTTGCTAAGGTCTATGACGATGATAAGCTGCTACTGCTTGTGTCGAAGCCTAACCAAGGAGGGGGCATGTGTTTCAATCCTATACCAAAAGTAGCCAATGAGGACAAGGATAAGAAAGCTTATGACGACGACGAGGAGACGGAGGACGTGGAATGAGAGAACGAGTTCAATGGGCTCCTTGTGACCCCTTGCGCTTGATTTGCTAATCGCATTAACGGAGGTCCGTAGTGTCCTTGTGAGCATGATGTTGTAGGCGACCCTGCTCTTGAAAGAGTGGAGGCACCGAAGCTATGTGGTGGCTCTCAAGATGAAAATGCCACCGATAAGGTCCTTTGCCCTTCTCCGTGCCCCGATTGATCTAGTGACGATGTTGGACGTGAGCCAAGGCATGATAGGGGAGAAGCTGCTTATGTTGAAGCGCGCAATGCGGTTAATGGTTTCCTCTTTGGGCTCGAGGGATTAGCTCTCCATTGTGGTCTTTTCAACTATCGCAGGTGCTAAAAGGCCCCTCCTTCTACAACGGATGTCGAAGCAAGGCCAACGCGCTGCCAGTCAAATTGTAAAAAGGCTCATTTTGAAGGAAATAGATTAGACAACCGGTCTACATTTTCAATTCAACATATTAATAATTTTTTAAAAAAATTAAATTACATATGTCATTATATAAATGATTTATTATGAGTTAGGATGCCACGTAAGTAGACTTTTAACTTCTATTAACTTAGACGACGGGAAGAGCTTATATGCTAAGTTTTTTTAAAATGTAAGAATTATTTTAGATGCGAGTAAATTATAAAGACTCAAGAGGTCTATAATCAAAACTACATGAGCTAAAATGAATATTAACCATTTTAAAAATCGATCAATTTCATACATTATCAAGGAACTATAAATTTGAACTAGCTAGATCTGTGCAATTTTGTAGAGCAGTAATTTTCTGAAGTGATTATTGATTAGGATGTGGGATTCAGGTCATTCATGCCCTCCAAAAAAAAATATATAGGGTGAATTTTTATAAAAACTTCTAGTTTTGAGAAATTTTATAGAACACTATTCTAAAATTTTTTTTAGAGCATCTCTTGGTCGGTAATTTTATCCTTTTAGCTTGGATAGCTAAGGTTTGTTTTCCCACTCAAAACACTGGCTTTTGGACCATCGGTTCACAAACGTGCAAAGATTGCTACAGTGTTTGGTCGGTGAGCACCATCTTCTTCTTTGGCTTCTCCTTTCTTGTAGCTCTATACACAGGTGTTGTTGCTCCTTCCTTTTGTCTGTTTTAATATGGAATCAAGAAGACAAAGTGTCGTGTAAGTATATTATTGTTTTTGTTAATAATTATTTAGATAGGATAAAATGTATGTAGGGTTTTCATGAATAGAGTGGGTATTTAAAATCATTTTGTTTGATAAATAAATTGGTATTTAAATCTTCTTCACTTATTTAATTTTCTTCCTTTGTGAAATTTGGAAGCTATTATAATCTAATTTATTGTTATATTGATTCATGAATTATTAAGTTATATGCTTGTTTTTCTAAGGATTCAACACAACATAATTCCACTTTAGCGAGGAATAAGTGAAACAGTCACTAATATCAATCAATACATATCTATGGGCATAAGGGTTATGAGTCATATTATAAAAGCCTCCTCAAGTGTGTTACAAAACACATAAAAAAAACTCGTATTCAATCATGGCTTTCGGCCTTATCACTCTCATCGTTTCGTCGACACCTCAACTCTTAAGCTAACATAAGCATCGGATGAACTTTATCTGATACAGTTCTATAGAACTCGACACCTCTTAGATTCAACCATCCCTAAGTTGATTTCGAACTAGCATTTTAGGTATCTAGGTTTTAAATTAATAGAACCTAAAGATTTTTTTTGGTGAATTTACTTTCTTGCATTCAGATGATTTAAAATAGCAAATATGATTTTGATACCGCGTCAAATCATCGTTGCAAATGATTGATTTCAAGCTCGGAGTTTGAGGTCTGTAGAGGTCAGAAAGTGCGCATCTCCATTTACATTTCTTGAAATCTGGTGAAACCTAACACAACTTTGACCCTTGGAGCAAAATACAAGAAGAAAATTGTTTCTGATGGTTACAGTTCCCACACTACAACTCCTCACAATACAGTGGTATCCACTGATCTCCGGCTAAAAGACTAGCACGTAGAAAGTGGCTTGCTGTGTAGCCAGCTACATGTACAGACACCATTTCCTTCGGTCGCAGGTACATAGGCCTCTGTATGTTTTATGGAGATGTACGCACTCCCATGACAGGATTGAAGTTACAGGGTTGACATTCTGAGGCTGCTCATCTCTCTGCTTCATGTCCAAAAACTGTTCTCGATCAATGCTGTCATGTTATGCATCATGGGTTGTCTATCCAAAACAGTGCTGCGAAACACACCGGAACGCCAGAGGTTTTACCAGGAGAAAAGTGGAATGCAATCCTGCACAGTAACCAAGGCAAAGTTTGATCTTGGTGTCTGAAACTTGGGGTCTCTCCGATCCCCTTCCTTCATGGAAACGGCAAGTATTGCAACTTCCAAACTTGGAGCGGTTCTCGATAACGAGTCATCGTCCACCACCCATTCAAATCATAGCCCTGTACTGACCTAGATGGAGCACTTCCATGTCAGTGCTCTTGAGATACTGATGAGATGCATGGCAACAAAAGATTGGAGCCTCTTTAGCTGCTTCTCTCATCCACTTGTCACGTGGAGTGTTCGAAATCGGACGTCTTCTGGCATCAGGGAGAGGCTCCAAATGCGGTGCAGTTCCTCGGGGCGTCCTGCCACCGCCATGCGTCAATTTGGCAGGAAGGCGTGGGCGGCTTTTGCGGCCATGATCATATCTGCAAACACCTGGAGGGGGAGCAAACCGAGAGGACTCGCTGCTGGGACCAACACATGGTGTCCTCTCTGAAAGGTTCACGAGTTCGGGAAGGGAATGATTGAGCTGACCCCTGAGGAGTCCTTTTCCGTGGTCTTCCCTCCTCCCTCCACCATCCCTCGCGCACCAACGTTATCTCCTCGCTCCCGTATGGGATGTCTCTGGACGCAGCAAGAACGAGCCTCGTTTGTCCTCCTCCATCCACAAGTATCCACCGCAACTAGTTTTCGCAAACGACCAGTTCCTCGTGGAACTCGTGGAAGAGAAAACCTATTGATCCGTGGTGGGAAGGGATCACCTTTTGTGTCTGCTTTATTGGGCAGATGGTTTAAGAGTCAGCAGAAGATTCTGAGTAGGTGCCCAAAGTCCTTGTCGTGGAGGAGTCAGCAATCACCGAAACATCCCATCCAAAGCTGCAACCTGGAATCCTCACACTCTTTGTTCTTTAGATACCTTTGCCCAAGACCGGGTGAAGAAGAAGGCAAAGATACTGGTCTTTCTTCCTAAGATTTAGACACGCATGTCGTTACTGGATTTGATATTTGGGTTGGAACAAGAAGAACGTCGTCATCGCCCCCACCGCTCTCATCGTCGACTCTTCTTTCCCTTCTTTGCAGGCATCCTAAAATGGCCTCACATGGTTCCTCACTCTGTTCATGGTTCATCCATACCTCCGTCACGAGCACGAACGAGGAAGATCCAATTACCGACGTCTCCCTCTCCACGTGCTCTTTTTTACTTTTGGTTTTCTTTCTTTTGTGCGGTACATGATAAGGCACGGTCACTGTCGCTCCACGTATCGCCCTGATGGGTCTACGTCAGATCAGATGGTTTACACTAAGTGGAAACAAAATTACTTATATATCCCTATAGAGTTAGTGATTTTCGTATTTACCTCTCAAAAAAACATTATTGGTAATTATTTTGACATAATATCCCTTTCTAAATATTAGAAAACATTAAAGGATCCAAATTAACATTTATTAGTAATATTTATTATTTATTAATTTGTTGTTAGTTTAGATGGTGCACATGATATATATGAAGGCTTTTGTGTTTGAGTGGTCTACTAAATAAAAATAAAAACTTAAACGAGTGATCCGTCAAACCTTATCCGTCCCCACCATATTTGAGGTCAAAAAGTCCACCCACCGAAAGAGAGGTGAAGAAGAAGACAAGTGGTGGTGGGATCCACCCCCTCCACATAAATTGATTTCACAGAATAGCGACATCGATCACTAGACGATGGAGATGAGCATCATCGAAGAATGACATAATTAACATGAGAATGGACAGCCATCGCTCCACGAACGAGGCCCGGTCAACGGGCAATCTCCAGCTTGGGCGAGTGCCCCAGCTCCGGCGCAACTCCCCCATGCATCGGCGCGTAATCCTGTGTTCACACATCTTAAAGCTTTTCTAAGGATAATTAGCAGAACAGCGACTGCGCAGTTGGCACCTCCAGCTTGGAGAGCAGCTCATGAGCAGTTTGCGCAGAGACGATGATGCGGCGCGCGGTGGGCGTGATGAATCCCTCGTCCACAGCCTTGTCGATGAAGGAGAGCAGGGAGTCGTAGTACCCATCAACGTTCAGCAAACCCACCTGCCAATTCCCTTGAGAGTGAGAAGGAACAGTCGGGAGAGAAGTTTGAGCTCGACGTAGGGTTTACCGGTTTGTCGTGGATGCCCAGCTGAGCCCAGGTTATGACTTCCAGCAGTTCTTCCAGGGTTCCGTAGCCACCTAGGTAGCCACACCAACAACAACAAGATGCATGGTCAAACTGGAGTACACGAGATAAAAAGAGTTCTCAACGCTGTATCAGACTGTAGCTTAGATTCCTCTGCTCGGTGAAGCGCATGGGGTCATAAGTTAGTGCACCAAAAAGAAGTCGAAAAAGTCGTATACTACGACGTCAGTGCTCGGAAAGATGGAAAGTCGACTCCTCGTTTGGCACAGAGATGGTGCTTACCAGGCAATGCTATAAAGGCATCGGCTTGACGGGCCATCTCGGCCTTCCGCTGGTGCATTCCTGAGACAGCCCTCACCTCTCCTACAGTCTCACCTGTGATCTGCAAGCCCTCAAATAAAACCAGGTGTGAGTTGTACAGCTAATCCTGATCTATCGCAGGCAATGAATTAGAAGGAAATAAGAGAAAGCAACACATACCTCTCTCGGCATTAGTGTCCTGGGAATGACTCTGCAGACATGTCCACAGCATGAGTATGTTGAGCACATACTGTTGCATACAATATACAGAGAGAGAGAGAGAGAGAGAGAGAGAGAGAGTACCCCAGGACATGGCGACCGCCTTCATGAACAGCTTGAGAGACAAGACCCATGAGGCCAACACTTCCCCCACCATACACCAAGTCTATGTTCCTTTGGACCTGCAAAACAGAGAAGCATGAAGCCACACACCAAGAGCAAAGCACAGAACAACTCTGAGACCATCATGGGTCGCATTTGGTGATGGAATTGACGGCTTAACTCCTTTCAATTAGCCAGAAGAAGCAAAGATCTCAAGGAAAAGGAAGAGATACAGATTAAAGGACTGACCAATTCATGGCCGAGCTGGATAGCTGCAAGCTGGTAGCTGGCTTTCTTCCCGGGGCTGCTGCCACAGAAGACGCAGACCCTTCGGAACCGCGAGGTGGAAGATGGCCTCTTGGTCATCGGCAGAGCCTGTGCTTCAGTTTCCATCAATCCACAACCAGTAAATAACTCAGATATGGAACACAGAACCCCTCTCTCTCCCTCTCCCTCTCCTTCTCTCCAGTGAAGCTTTGGTTTCTTTGCCGAGGGAAGTGAAGTACAGAGCTTGTTTGGCAATCTCAATGTAACTGTGGTTGTCTATGGCTGTGGTTTCTTCTTCCTTTGGTTTGCCCCTCGCACCTTTTTAAGGAGCTAAAGTGAGGTGACGGTCACAGTGGAGAGAAGTAGGCCTGTGGGGGCCTGTGAAGCCCATCTTCTAATATACAAATACGTGGAAATCAGTCTGTGACTTGGAAAAGAAAAAAAAAACACTTGATCCAACATTTATCTTTTGACAGAACAGGGCATGATCTTTGTTCCCACTTCTAATGATCATCAAATACTATATATAGTCTTAAGACCACTTTATTGAGCCAAATTATAGGAAACTTTATGGAGTGCTACAGTGTGGTCCTGTTCATGTATCACTACTTTTTGTCGATCCAACATTTACATTTTCTGATAGCAAAAGAAAATAAGAGTCTCTATTTGCATCCTATGGTCCTCCTGTTCTGTTCATGGTTTGAAAACATGTTTTCTTCTTCTCTGTTTGTGGCTTCAATGACCAACATCATCTTTACAGGAATTCAGTCTTTGTTAATGATATAAAACAAATCACGTACCATCTGCTGGATTAAGATCTTAGATTAAGCCATATTAATTAGTGTTCAGCGTTGAGTTCAATCTTCGATTAAACTTGTAGCAACTCGTCTTCTACTTGTTGCAAGCTTTCGGTGGCCAAAGCAGATATGGCTAAAGACTTTGTTCAAAGGTGGCATTCCCTTTACCGTCTTCATCGACATCACGAAGCGAACCCATCCGACGTGCCCTCCAAGTATCCATCCTCCTCTTTTTCCCAGAACCTTTTTCTCTCTTCACGGCTGTGCCATGCACAGTTTGATTGCGCTGAAGTGGGGGTTGCGTTGCAGGGGAACACCCAGGCACATCGGATAAGGTGTCCTTGGGGGCGTGCTGCTTTTGTTCTGCCATTTCTGGGTGCAGCATGGTTTGGATTGTGTGACTATGTACTACAACAGGAGTTTTCTTTTTTGTTTTTAGGAAAAGAAATACCATTTAGAAAGGTCTAATTGATCGGATGGTGGCCAAAGCAGATATGGCTAAAGTTTTTAGCTTTAAAGATAATTAACTTGAGTACGAATCTTGAAAGTCTTCTAGTTTGATTAATAATGGTGAACCTAATATATATATATATATATATATATATATATATATATATATATGATAATGAGATTGATTTGTCTTTAAACATAGATTCTAAATATACACAAAAACAAAGGATAAACAGATCCACTGGATTGGATCCCCGTATATCGTCTACGGACTATCAAGTAAATTATTTTGGAGATAATAATTTACTCAGTTAGAAGGAGTTCTGACATCTACAACTCACGGCCAGTCACACATATATGATAGGTATTATCGAATCTCGAATTTTGATGATATTATAGACTAATAAATATTTGAGATAAATGACATAAAAGAAACTTCGATCATAGATTTGAACCATCGAAAAGCAAATCATTAAAGTAGAAGAATCAAACGTCAAAATGAAAGATTGATCAACATGCTGAAAGATATATTTCGAACACTCAAATAGTAGTCGTTTGTTTTAGAATAATTAATTAGGGGTAATGCTCAATCAGTTTGGTCACAGAAAATTCTCTCAAGGCATCATTCGGCCTATGCATGAGATATATCTTTTTTACTTCATCAAGCATATTTCATGTATTCATAATTTAATATATTCGATAATATTATGATTCATTTAGAATCGAGGGTAGGAGTCGTTGGAGTTTTTATAGGGCACGCTCAGTTTGGGCATCGTGTTAGCTCCTGTCGGTGTCGGTGTCGGTGTCGGTGGGTGACTGGGCCTGTTTGGACCCGATCCAAAGAGGCTTCAAATTCGGCCCTCGTCACCGTTCCTTCCACGTACGGAAGCCCCAAACTCTTCGTAGCTACATGCTCAAAAACCGAAGCCACACAGACTCTGTACTCCGTCGAGAGTAGTGACCCAAGTAGAAGTAAAAGGAAGAGAGGAGACTCGGTAACTAGAAGTTGGGGAAAAGGAGAAAAGGGGCCGAGAGAGAATGGAGGACGGGCGGATCGTGCTAGAGACGGGCCGGGCGGAGAGGTCGGTGTGGTTGATGAAGTGCCCACCGGTGGTTTCGCGGTCGTGGCAGTCATCCTCCGCCTCTGCCGACTCCTCCAACCCTAATCCCGTCGTCGCCAAGGTTGTCCTCTCCCTCGATCCCCTCCGCCCCGATGGCCCCTCCTCCCTCCAGGTAATCGCCCTTTCTTCAATTTCTTTAATTAGGTTTCTTGAATTTGTTGATGTTGTTGTCGTCGTCGTCTCGGTGGATGTATGACGATCTCTTGCCCTCGTGGCCTCATCCACGGATCCCATCTACACTTCTTCTTCTTTTTTTTTTGCTTGATATTTTTTTATGTCACCGAGGAAATTGAACTCTCCGACTTTTAGGTTGGCTTACGTTTGTTGGATTAGATGTAGCAGGAGTAACGATATGAAGGAGGTAATTAGTGCGAACTAGGAGAATTCATGTGATGATGTGTTGCTTTGTAGGAACCTTATGTGAAACTGGAACTCACGGATGAGGTATCTTCCCTTGTCCAAGAGTGTGGCTTGGAGTAGGTTTGACTTCTAAAGAAAGATGTATATAAATCCAACTATTTTACATTTGACTTCCATAATCTCTTCGTTAATGATAGGTTCAGCATAGAGAGAAAATCCAACCATGTAATTTGTCTCTCTTTTTCTTGAAATTCAGACACCATTCACATCTCTTTGGGTAAGCTCTCTGTTGCTAATGCAGTAGTTCGAACATTTTCTTGGTCCAAGGTCAGGGAATACAAATAGACAAGTCACACAGTCTGACCTACATGTTAGCGGTTGGCAAGTACTGCAGAAAGATATGCTTGAAAAAAATTAACAAGTTTTCAGAAGTTGATTTTAAGTCTCTAAAGTGCACTTTGTTGCATTTGAATTGTTGCTTAAGGTTTCTAGCTCAATCTAGTGTGATAGCTCGATAAAGCTTATCTGCTAACTCAATTGTAATGGAAAATGCAAATGTAGCTGCATCAGCCATTCTGACTCCTGTAACTGATCTTGGGTGTTGCTGCCCCTTAAACAGTCAATGAATAATTAATGAATGAATCCTTGATCTTTCATGATGGTTAAATTTGTTCATACCATACATTGAACTAGGTAGTCTAAGTTGTCTTGAAGATTATTCTGATCTGTTTTGGTAGTGTGGTCTCAGTAAGCTCAAACATAGATCACTCTGATGTTTTAGGAAATTACATTTTACTTATATTCTCAGCGATCAGAACAAAAAGACTGTGTTGGGTTTTTTTAGAGTTTAGTCAATTGCCTCATTTATGGCCCTAAAATTGTAGAAAGCATAGTTCAGAAACCAAAAAAATTAAGATGCTTCTATGAGGCACTTTTGGTTTTTTGGCAAAATATACCATGCCAGATGGTGTTGGCACACTCCATTCTGTCTCTTGCCAATAAACTGGCATGATATAGAATAATATTGCACCTAGAAGTTATTGGCAAGCCCTTCTACCTCTGTGCTCTCATTTTTTGTTATAACCTTCAGAGGTTCTAGTTAGATAGGCCTGTGATGTTCAGGCACATTCAATGGTAGGGACCAGCTGTTTGTGTCAGTCCTTCATTTCTGGCTTAGCATTAACAAGATTTTGTTATGTTCGATCTTCTGGCTGAGCTACCTCTACTTTGGCCCTTATTTTTGTTTTCTTTAGTAAAAGGCGAAAGAATAGTTTTCTTTAGTAAAAGGTGATTCTTTGTTTTCTTTAAGTGATAGTGTTTTTGCCATTGTAGAATTAGATTGGCTTTTAAAATTTTGGCAGTTTTCAAAGCATTATTAGACTCTTATGACTCAGGCATGTTAATTTCAACATCCATAAAATAAATATGCCTTTGAGTAATATTATGGTTTGAACTTGCAGTTTAAGATGGAAATGGCTCAAACTGATTCTGGCAATACACCAAAGAGTTACACTCTGAATATGTTTAAAGACTTTGTTCCAATGTGTGTCTTTTCTGAATCTAATCAAGGTAAGCATATGCCTATCTTTTGTTACAAACCCATCTTATGCATTTTGTTGGATTGGACATTACAGGTTAAATTTGTAATGTCCATACCAAATTACCAATGACTGGTGACACCATACATGGATCCCACTTTTCCAATTAATGGTCAGTTGTGAGCTTCTGCTGATAAATAAAGTCTGGACCAGAATTTCTTTATGTTTTTGCATATAAAAGGGCCATCCTATTGTGTATATTACCATATCATGCGGTATGCACCTTCATCGTATGGTAATGTGCAATAACACCATATTATGCTGTTTGTGCTGGCACTTCTAAACCTGTCACAAAATTTTCCTTGTAAAACCACCCGGTAAGCTAATTTAGTTAGCTGGAGGAGCATTAGCATTCAGTACCTTCTTTATGAGATTACCATATATCTGTTTTATCATTTTGTGGATATCTGTAGTGAGTGGTGAATAACCAAGTTAAAATATGTTCACATTGGGTTGTTGAGTTTTCATCAAGATCATGCATTAAATTGAGTTCTCCTAGTCGATATTACACATTAAATTAGCATTATTTTATATGCTTATTACTTGATGGTGCTAATTTTCTGGAGATTAATTTCCCGTGTTCCCCTACCGCCTTGATAGGGTGAAGAATTTGGCCAACTAGCCACTAGCAGAGGGCTCATACTCAAATGAAGGATATCATTGGACCCAAAAGATTAAGCCAATGAGTAATGGGCCCGTGGATGTTGCCATACCATTCTCTCACATCTTCTCCATATTAGACTATCCTCTCAAGTGGAATACCCAACAATCTCATTTATTCACTTGTGCTATATTGGTCATGCCTCCCCTATACCACAGACTCTCTCAACGACATTCTATCAACTCAAACTTGACCATCTTAATCTGCATGCAATCATCATCTCAACCATGCATAACATCTCACATATCTACATCACGACTCTTGGCTCTTACCAGCAATTTCATAACCTCATACTTGGCTCCTAAACTTGTCGTGACAGAGAATTAACGTCATCATTAACTTAACCATCATAACTGTAGGAGTCCACTCGCTTATTATCATGTTTGTAATCAGATTATTTTAGTTTGACCGTCTTAACTATGTGGG